GCCCCACCACTCCTCGGACAAGCCAGGATGCCGCTGGCCCTCTTGGCCACCTGGGCACACTGGTTCTATGATTCTGTGATTTATGTCACGGTCAGGACTGCCCCCGCCTCACCCCGCGAAGGTCCTACGCCACGTTAACTGCCTTGCTGTGAAAGCACCGGGGTTTTTCCCACGCTCAAAGCAGGGACGACAGCAGCGTCAGGAGCCAGCGTGCTTGTTGGCAGCTTGCTCTGAAAATTCGCCCGACCGTCATTTCTGGGTTCTGCTCGGCGCGGCAAATCATAAACACTGAAGGCCGAGGAAAGATGCCGACCTGTGCTTCCCATAAGTGGGGCAGCCCCGTAACACCTGGAAGAGCTCCCGCTGGCTCTGGGTAAGCACTTGCTGCGGGCAAGAAGAAAGGCACTTTTAAAAAAAGAGATCACAGGATTAGGGGGGAGCTGGAACGGGAACAGAGAGCTTCCACAGAGGGTGGTCTAACTGCAGGAGAGCTCTTTAATGGGGCTCAGCTACTTTGGTTCTCTGCTAAAAACCTCACCAGGATCACCTCGGCGCAGCAGGGCAGCTCCATGCCAGGAGCCAGCGGCTTGAACCCGCGGTCCCGAACAGGACGTCCCTGCAGCCACGTGGGCAGGACTGCGCCTTGGAATTGGGGACAGCTTTTATTTTGCTCCAAAGAGCCAGTACGGAAGCTTAGCTACGGTTCCCAGCTGCAAAGCCTTGCTTCTGGAACACAGTGGCAGTGGAGGATCGGTATAAAGAAGCACTGATTCATGCACCAGCTTTGGCTTCCCCATGCCAGGCAAGCAGGGGTGCCCCCAGACCAAGAGGGACGCCCCGAATTTAAGTGGTGCGGTTTCCCAGGGCACATGCTGATATGAACCGGATCAAACAGGGCATCTAAAATGAAAACCACCGTGTCGAGGCATGAGGTTCGGTGGATTGACACGGGCCTGAGGCGATGAAAAGCAAAGAGCGACCCAACGCACCACGCAGCACATGCTGAGCCAGGCAGCTCGCCCTCGGGGAGCGCTGCAGCGGCGGCGTTCCAGCTCTTAGGGCACGGGATGAGTCTTCCCAATCCTCCTGGCAAGGCAGAGCCCAGCGTTTGGGACCTTCCCGGCACAAAGACGGGCAGTTCTCGGCGTTGGAAGCACCGCGTGGTGTCGTGAGGGCAGGGCTGACGGCAGCACTGCAGCTATCGGGTCGCAAGGGAAATAGCCGGCCGAGCTCCGGCTTACGGGGCCGAGCCGGCTCCCCCTGCACAGGCCTGGGAGCAACCCGGGAGAGGATCCAGGGCCAGCACTGATGGGTTTGGAGGAGGCTCCTCGTGTTCACCGGCTGCTGAGCGGGCAGGGGAAGCAGCATGTTGAAGGAGGATGGGAGCGTATCGACAAAACCTCAGGATTCACGGGATCCAGCAGCAATTTGGATGGCCCAGAGCGTGGGCGTGCAGAGGCTCCTCTGGGAACGCTGTGAGGCCCCTCCTGCACCGCACCCCAGGGCCAGGCAGCACGGTGACTGCATGGCTGTC